TTTTCTGTTTGAATGTGCTAGGTTATCCCAAAGATAACTTGCAAGTGCTACACTTTGGAAAGAACATAGTTATTTTAGTCTCCCATTTTTTTTTTAATGAATATGTATATTAACCTCTATAACTTTTAATTTTTCTTGTATTTTTTTAAAAAGTGTGCATCCAGAGATTTCTTTTTTTTTAATGCCCCTCCCCGAGATTTCTTCTAACTCAGGATTTATTAGGCATTTGAGAAAGAAATATCTCTTCAATTCAATATAGCCATTAGATACTATTATATAAGGAATTTGAGCTAAATATGATCAGTTTTCATTATTCACAGTAATTTGTTTATTTATTTATTTATTTTTTGAGATGGAGTTTCACTCTTGTTGCCCAGGCTGGAGTGCGATGGTGCGATTCCGGCTCACTACAACCTCCGCCTCCCAGGTCCAGGCAGTTCTCCTGCCTCAGCCTTTGGAGTAGCTGGGATTACAGCATCTGCCACCATGCCTGACTTATTTTGTATTTTTAGTAGAGACAGGGTTTCTTCGTGTTGATCAGTCTGGTCTCAAACTCTTGACCTCAGGTGATCCACCTGCTTCGGCCTCCCAAAGTGTTGTGATTACAGGCGTTAGCCACTGCGCCCTGCCTTATTTTATGTTTTAGGATGGAGTCTTGCTCTGTCGCCCAGACTGAGCAAGTGCAGTGGCGCAATCTCACTGCAACCTCCGCCTCCTGGGCTCAGGCGATTCTCCTGCCTCAGCCTCTTGAATAGCTGGGATTATAGGCATCAGCCAATGTGCCTGGCTAATTTTTGTATTTTTAGTAGAGATGGGGTTTCTCTCATGTTGGCCAGGCTGGTCTCGAATGCCTGACATCAGGTGATCCACCTGCCTCCCAAAGTACTGGGATTACAGGCATGAGCCAGCACGTCCAGCTGACAGTATATTTTATAAAGTTGTTGTGAGTATTGAACAATTGCTCGTAGAAGAAATATTGGGTTAGATTTCTTCTAGGCCTACAGCCTGTGGTGACAACACTTTTGTCATCTTTTTTTTTTGTATGTTTTTGTTTAAAGACACCTTATTTGCTATGTATTTTTGTTTGGTTTTTGAGACAGAATCTGTTGCCTATGTTGGAGTGCAGTGGCATGATCTCGGCTTACTGCAACCTCTGCCTTCCAGGTTCAAGTGATTCTCCTGTGTCAGCCTCCCAAGTACCTGGGATTACAGGCACACACCACCATGCCTGGCTAATTTTTATATTTTTAGTAGAGACAGGGTTTCACCATGTTGGCCAGGATGGTCTCGAACTCCTTACCTCAAGTGACCTGTCCACCTCAGCATCCCAAAGTGCTGGGATTACAGGTGTGAGCCACTGCCTCCAGCCTGATATGTATGGTTAATTTGTTAATATTGAGCTGACCAATAGCACTGTTATGGTGAACAAAGCTTATTTTAGCACACACTTTTTTTTTTCCTGTAAGGTACATCACAGTCTTCTTGTGCTTAGAAACACTGGATAGCACTGGCTGTGTGCGGTGGCTCATACCTGTAATCCAGGCACTTTGGGAGGCCAAGGTGGGCAGATCATGTGAGGTCAGGAGTTCAAGACCAGCCAGGCCAACATGGTGAAACCCCTGTCTCTACTAAAAATACAAAAAAATCCCAGCCAGATATGGTGGCACGTGCCTCCCGGGAGGCTGAGGCGGGAGAATCGCTTAAACCCAGGAGATGGAGGTTGTTGTGGTGAGCTGAGATTGCACCACTGCATTCCAGCCTGGGCGACTGAATGAGACTCTGTTTCAAAAAAAAAAAAAAGGAAGAAAGAAACACTGAATAGCCCTTAAGCACTATGTTTGGGGGCCATTTTAAACAACAAAATCAGGAAGAAAAAGCCCCAAATTCAAAAAATGTGACACTAAGTAGATTGTGAATAGGGCACTTGTTTATAGTATGAGACCTGAAGCAAAAAAGAGTATCACCTTTTTGAATTCTGCAGAAAACATGCATATTGGGCACCTTAAATTTATCGCTGTGCTGTGCATGTCCATGAATGAATGTGAAAGCACTGCAATGATTGATTTTGAGGTTACAAATTTTAACGAACATTCATATTTGCAAGCATGGAATCCTTGAATAAATCTGATTATAAATCGCCTATCTCAAGAGTTTTTTGGAATACCTAATGTGTTATATTAACCAACCAAATCTAGACTACAGGGGGCTGAATTTTGTAACAGAAACTACAAAAATTCAATGAAAACATTAGCAATCCTGTGTTCTCATTAAAAACAAAAAGATTACAGGGGCAGTGGAGAGAGGGAGGCAAGGGTTTCAAAATTGTTGGGTACTCTGCTCACTATCTGGGTTTTGAGATCGTTTGTATCCCCAACCTTAACATCACACAATATACTCATGTAACCTGCACACGTACCCCCAAATCTAAAAGTTGAAATTATAAGAATAATTAAAATTTTAAAAAATTATTACTCCACTTTCTTGATTTGAAATCAGTGGCAACTCAGTGAGTAGATGGCTATTCTTTTGCATATAAAAACAAGTATGCATCAAAATATTTTAGGCAGAAATAATTTTAACTTAGTTTTTTTTTTTTTTTTTTTTTTTTTTTAGACAAATTTTTGCTCTTTTACCCAGGCTGGTGTGCAGTGGCACAATCTTGGCTCACTGCCGCCTCCGCCTCTTGGGTTCAAATGATTCTCCTGCCTTAGCCTCCTGAGTACCTGGGACTATAGGCATGCGCAGCCATCCCCAGCTAATTTTATTTTTAATTTTTAGTAGAGACAGGATTTTACCATGTTGGCCAGGCTGGTCTTGAACTCCTGACTGACCTCAAGTGATCCGCCTGCCTTAGCCTCCTGAAGTTCTAGTATTACAGGCATGAGCCACCACTAGGTCTTTAGTTTTAATCACAGTTTTTAATTATGAATACTGTTTTATAAAGAGGCAGTTTCTTCAAAGTTGTCTGATATCCATGACTGCCATCTTTTAATTCTGAAGGGCATACCAAAATATAATAGAAAGGTGTTATTAAGTAGTTCAGAGAGATACATTTTTTCTGTTGCATTAGAGTTATGCTGGTTTAGTTTGGGATTAAAATGGCATTAGGTGAATACTGAATTTACATTACTTAAGCATGTATTTGTAAATAATATCATGTGCTAAATTTCATCAGACCCAGGACATGCATAGGTTGTTTTCTCAAATAACTGTAACTTCAGTCAGAGATCATTTGTACCCAAATGACAATACACATGTACCTTTTCATGGTGAAATATGTGAATATGAGTGTCTATAAAAGTGAAGATTTGGTAAAATTGTTAATTGTAGCAAAAATTCACATTTGTTGTGTTTATTTTGGTAGGTGCGAACTATGGCTCGAGATTTATACGATGACCACTTTAAAGCTGTTGAAAGCATGCCTCGTGGAGTAGTGGTAACACTCAGAAACATAGCAACTCAGTTAGAGTCATCTTGGGAACTTCATACAAATAGACAAGTATGTCAACCTGTAGATTTTAATGATGCGTAGTGAATTTTAGTTTGATGTTTTCCCCTCTATCCTTTATGTCATGGTATTGAGTAGGGGGTCAGCAAATTATGGCCCAGGAGCCAAATCTGGCTTGCTACCCATTTTTGTATGACTTTATGAGGAAATAATGGTTTTTATATTTTTAAATGATTGAAAACAAACCAAAAGGAGAATTTCAAGACACATGAAAATCAGATTTCAGTATCCGTAAAATTTATCACACATAGCCATGCTTACTCATTTACATATTTTCTACTACTTAGGTGCTACAAGGGCATGGTTGAATAGTTGTGACATAGAGTATATGGCCTGCAGAGCCTAAAATATTTACAAGGGCCCTTTACAAAAACATTTGCTGACCTCTGGTAGACAGAATCCTTGTTAATAATTTGAACTTTTATTTTTGCTTAATATCTAAATTATTCTCATAATTGATGTTCTGATAAGTTATTTTAAGAGCTATGTTCATCTTTTTGGTTGTCTTCATTAATTTTTTTTCTTTTAGTGTATTGAGAGTGAGAACACTTGGAGAGATTTAATGAAGACAGCTTTAGAAAACCTAATTGTACTTTTGAAGGATGAAAACACAATTTCACCTTATGAAATGTGCAGCAGTGGCTTGGTACAAGCACTTCTTACTGTTTTAAATAATGTAAGTTTATCAAGTAGTAAAGAACAAAAATATAGTTTTAAAAATTAGTTACTCCTTTGATAGGTTGAGTGGTTTTTAGTTTGTTTTGTCAAGAAATATTTAAAAGCGGAATGATGTTAATATTTCTAATTTCACCAGCCTTTAAGTTACACCATTAGTTTGAGCCAAATGAATTAAATAATTTTGTTTATTTTGATTTCTAACTTCCCTAATTATAATCTGTTAAAGGTTTTGTTGACTAAAAACATTTAGCCTAAGATTTATCATAATTCACTGCTCTGATTTTCACATAAGTTATATAATGTAGAATATGTGTGTAGACCTTAAGTACCTAAGTTATATGCATAAAATTAATGTATGAACAGTAAAAGTTTAGGAAGCTTATGTGAAAATTTAATAAATACTTGCTAATAACTTTACATATATTTTTCAATTTAAGAATGTCTCTTTATTATGGTAAAACTTTTTTCATTTATTTATTTATGACGCAGTCTCACTTTGTTGCCCAGGCTAGAGTGCAGTGGTGCAGTCTTGGCTTATTGCAGCCTCTCTCTCCTAGGCTCAAGTGATTCTCCTGCCTCAGCCTCCTGAGTAGCTGGGAATACAGGCACCTGCCACCATGCCTGTCTAATTTTTGTATTTTTAGTAGAGATGGGGTTTTGCCATGTTGTCCAGGCTGGTCTCGAACTCCTGACCTCAGGTGATCCACCCTCCTTTTCCTCTCAAGTGCTGGGATTACGGATATGAGCCACTGCACCCAGCTCTTTTTACCTTTATTTTAATGAAAGGATTCTTTTTATTTCGGTTCTTATTTATTTAAATTTGGAATGCTTCATGAATTTGTGTGTCATCCCTGCCCGGGGCCATATTAATCTTCTTTATATCATTCCAGTTTTGGTAAACGTGCTCCTGAAACAAGGACTACTCAATTTAATTCTTTTTAGTGTGTGTGTGTGCATGTGTGTTTGTGCACTCCTATGTGCATCTGTGTGTTCACCATGTTGCCGAGGCTGGGCTCAAGTGATCTGGCTGCCTTGGCCTCCCAAGGTGCTGAGATAACAGGTGTGAGCCACTGTGCCTGGCCAGAGTTGATTTCTTCATCTTAATCATTGTATGTGCTTATACACTCTTAAGATTCATTTTAGGCTGTGCATGGTGGCTCATGCCTGTAATCCTAACACTCTGGGAGGTCGAGGTGGGGGGATCACTTGAGGGCAGGAGTTCAAGACCAGCCTGGTCAACATGGTGAAAACCTATCTCTATTAAAAATACAAAAAAATTTAGCCAGGTGAGTTGGAGTATGCCTGTAGTCCCACCTACTGTCCTGTAATTCTGAAGCAGAAGAATTGCCTTAGCTGGGAGGCAAGGTTGCAGTGAGCCAAGATCACAACACTGTACTCCAGCCTGGGAGACAGAGTAAGACTCTATCTCTTAAAAAAAAAAAAAAAAATCACTTGAACGTCAATCAATCCCATAGTCCCTTCATAAACTTTACTATTTGCATTTATTCCTATTTATTATAGTGATATTTCACATATCACTTAGTAATATCTGTGGAATCATGGTTTTGATGGAGCAGTTTGTTCCTAATGATTATTAAAGTAAATAGTACTGTTAAAATGGAAAATGTTCATTCATTCATATATTAGTGAAAGATGAAATCATGATTTTACGCAGATTGTAGTGATAATTTTATAATATCTTAACATTAGTCTCTTAGTTTTTAATAAATTTCAGTAAGATTCTTAAATATCTTTTTGTTTTGGACTTTATACTTTTTGTTTTCTTTAGAGCATGGATTTGGATCTGAAACAAGATTGTAGTCAACTGGTAGAAAGAATAAATGTTTTTAAAACCGCCTTTAGTGAAAATGAAGATGATGAAAGGTAAAACACCACATTTCTTTGAATTTGATGTTTGTGATGTTTACACAGTTGGTATACTTCCTCTAAAATAAGTCTAGAATAGCATTTATGCACACAAAAGAAACTCTTATTTAGTAGGACTGTGACATAGATGTATGATAAGAGGAAAATTTTTAAAGTTTTTTTTAATCTAGTGGGATAATTTAAATTACTTGTCTGGTATGAATGAGCTGATCACTTAGTTTACTTATTCATTATTGTTATTATTATTATTATTTTGTAAATTCAGACAAGATTTCACTCTGTTGCCCAAGCTGGAATGCAGTAATGTCATCTTGGCTCACTGCAGCCCCAACCTCCTGGGCCGAAATATTTCTCCTGTCTTAGCTGCTCAAAGTGTTGGGATTACAGGCATGAATCACCATTCCTGGCCTGATCACTTAGTTTAAATTACATGCCTGTTTAAGATAGTTGAAAATTTGAACACTGATAAAATATTTGATAATAAGTAATAGTTGTTCTTTTTAAAAATGTAATAATACGGCTGGATGTGATGGCTCACACCTGTAATCTCAGCACTTTGGGAGGTGAGGTGGGGGGATCACGAGGTCAGGAGTTCAAGGCCAGACTGACCAACATGGAGAAACCCTGTCTCTACTAAAAATACAAAAATTAGCCAGGCATGGTAGTGCACACCTGTAATCCCAGCCACTCAGGAGGCTGAGGCAGGAGAATCACTTGAACCCGGAAGGTGGAGGCTGCAATGAGCCGAGATCACACCACTGCACTCCAGTCTGGTGACAGAGTGAGACTCTGTCTCAAAAAAAAAAAAAAAGTAATGATAGCATTTTAAAAAAAAAATCTTTTGTTAGATTTATATACAAAGAATATCTCTAGATGAAATAATAAGCTCTTTAGCATTTTTTCAAACTACATAAGAAGTTGAGTTCAGGCATGGTGGTTCACGCCTGTAATCCCAGGACTTTGGGACACTGAGGTGGGTGGATCACTTGAGGTCAGGACTACGAAACCAGCCTGGCCAACGTGGTAAAACCCTATCTCTACTAAAAATACAAAAATTAGCTAAGCATGGTGGTGGGCATCTTTAATCCCAGCTACTTGGGAGGCTGAGGCAGGAGAATCCCTTGAACCCAGGAGGCAGAGGTTGCAGAGAGCTAAGATCATGCCACTGTACTCCAGCCTGCCTCCTGGGTGACAGAGTAAGACCCTGTCTCAAAAAAAAAACAAGGTGAGAATTGGGTGGGGATATGGATATTAATAGATTGGTCATTAGTAGCTACTTGATAGAGCTGGGTTGATGAAGGTTCGTTGTATTATTCTGTGTACTTTTGAATGAGATTGCACTTTTAAAATAATAAGTTATACAGTTTATTGAACTAATTGTGTTAATTTCAAATTTCATTTTTAATGAATGCATAGTATATCTTTACAGTGTATAGTAACGTATTGAAGCATTACTATGTTAAACAATTTAGCTCTTTGCAAACTATTACTATTAGTCAAATATACTAGTCTTAATGGAAACATCTTTTTATGTAAATTCCATAAGTGGTAATATTGTGCTAAAGGTTATAGGTGATTTTTTTTTTTTTTGAGACGGAGTCTCACTGTCACCCAGGCTGGAGTGCAGTGGCATTATCTTGGCTCACTGCAACCTCCGCCTCCTGGGTTCAAGTGATTCTCCTGCCTCAGTCTCCTGAGTAACTGGGATTACAGGTTCGTATCACCAGTGGACCTGGCTAATTTTTGTAGTTTTAGTAGAGATGGGGTTTGACCACATTGGTCAAGCTGGTCTCGAACTCCTGACCTGTGATCTGCCTGCCTTGGCCTCCCAGTGTGCTAGGATTACAAGTAAGAGCCACCATTTATGGCCCCATTTTTTTTTTTTTTTAAAGAGATGGAGTCTTGCTTTGTTGCTGAGACTGAAGTGCAGTAGATATTTACAGGTGCCATAATTTTGCACTATAGCCTCAGATTCCTGGGCTCAAGCGATTCTCTTACCTAAGCTTCCCTTGTAGCTAGGACTCCAGCATGTGCCACCTTGCCCAGCTCTGCAAGATGATTTTTAAAAGTTCTTGATTTAAATTTTCACATTGTTTTCCAGAAGTGTTATAGCAATTTACACTCCAATAATGAGAAAGTATATCTTGTGATACCCTTGCCATCAAATATTTTTTCAAAACTTTGTTACTTCATATTTTTAATTTATCAAATATTATACAGTAAAATTGTATAAACTTTAAAAATAAATCATACATCTACTTTAAATATAGTTGATAAAGTTTTTATTAGAAAAATGAAATATTTTTAAGTGAAGGAAATTGAGTTGTTAAGAGTATTTCTATCTACTCAAACATAATTTAATACAAAATTAAACTTTGTAGTCATGAAAAATAGGGGCATATATTGAAGTTAATTACTGTATTTTCTGCATAAACATTTGCATGCAGTTATACAAAAGGTCTTAATGATAATTACTTCTTCACAGTCGACCAGCAGTTGCATTAATTCGAAAGTTAATAGCTGTGCTAGAATCTATTGAACGTCTACCTCTCCATTTGTATGATACACCAGGATCCACATATAACCTCCAGGTAACCATAAAAAAATGTAGTAGCTAGTATTGCTGAATGCGCCTAGGAACAGTGTTAAACTTTTCTTTTAAAAAAATTATTTTTTTTCACGTTGGATTAAAATAAAAACAATTCTACTTAATCTTTTTTTTTTTTTTGAGATGGGGTTTTGCTCTTGTTGCCCAGGCTGGAGTGCAACAGTGCGATCTCGGCTCACTGCAACATCCGCCTCCCAAGTTCAAGCAGTTTTCCTGCTTCAGCTTCCGGAGTAGCTGAGATGACAGGCATGCACCACCATGCCCAGCTAATTTTTTGTATTTTTAGTAGAGATGAGGTTTCTCCATGTTTGTCAGGCTGGTCTTGAACTCCCGACCTCAGATTCACCCGCTTTGGCCTCCCAAAGTGCTGGGATTACGGGTGTGAGCCACCATGTCCAGCCCAATTCTACTTAATCTTTAAAGATTTTAGCTTAATAGCTTGAAGTCTATTTTTTTTTTATCAAATCACTGGAAAATCATGCATTTATTCATTTAATATTTGTTAAAAGAATTATATTTCATAGATCATAAGTGGCAAAAGATGTTTTATCTGTGGAAAAAACAGAGTAAAAGGTTTCTCTTATTCTATAATTATGAGTCAAGCTCTATTATAGTCGATTTGGGTTTCTGTAACAAAATTCCTTAGACAGTGAAGTTAATAAACAGAAATTCATTGCTCACAATTCTGGCAGCTGAGAAGTCCATTATCAAGGTGCCAGCAGATTTGGTGTCTGGCGAGAGCCTCTTCCTCTTAGATGAAACCTTCTAGCTGTGTCTTCAAATGGTAGATGGGATGGACAAGATCTCTCAGGCCTCTTGTATAAGGACACTAATCCCATTCATGAGGGCAGAGCCCTCCCAAAGATTCCACCACCCAACACCACTGCACTGGGGATTAAGTTTTAACACATAAATTTTTGGGGGACATAGACATTTAGACCCTGTCTAAATGTCCCTTCTATGTTGTAAACATAAGAAAAAATGTGAAGATATTTTAAGCACAATTTTTTTCAGGTCTTTCTTTATGTCATTGGTTAGAGCCAGATTGCCTAATTCCTATCAATTACATGGTTTCATAGCCTGTTCTTTGCCTTCTCTCTTCCTCCCCATATGTATATATTCATATATAGTATGTAACTTCCTATTTACATTCTCATTTATTCAGTTAGTCTTTTCTTTAGGAGCTGGGATCTAGATGCAAACAAACAATACATTTTAGTAATATCCTAGTCCAGAAGTTTATCGCATTTTTATGTGCGTTTCTTAGTGTTTCCTAGAAAGGCCTTCTGCTTTGAATTTTGCCTTTATCTAAATTATTCTGCATTCTACTGCATGGAATAATTTCTTTTAAATAATAGCCTTTATTTAGTGACTGAGGGTCTATATTTGTCAAAGCAATGCAAAGCTAACAAAACTTGCCATACT